AAACACCCACAATTATTTACGTTGCTTGCTCACATACAAAATACATACAACTTACATGGGCGTATAAAGAACCTGCTCTTTGCGTTTGAACTCGTCCAAAATGTTTATTTCAAACCGAAACAAACATTAAAATATTATGGCTAGCTAGGTATCTCTAAATACCTACCCACTATTTTAGATCATGATGCAACATTTTTTGTAACAACTTCGCATTCTAGCTAGGTAGGTAAGCATGTTTAAATGGTTTTGAGAGAGTTTGTGTAAACAGAATTCCTTCACCATTTGCTTTGTTTGTTTTTTACCTGTCTACGCCTCAGGGCTTAACGAAAAGTCGGAAAGGTTCGAAATTAAAAAAATAATATTATACGACGTCTATTATAATATCTTAGGAAGTTACTAATTAATATTAATCGAGTCACTAGTTTATCTAGCCAGCCAGCACCTAAAGTTGCAATTTTGTAATGTCTTCGCATTTATAGAAGGAATCCATATTATTATATTTATTTATTTTATTATACAAATACAATCATACACGTAACATATTTCAAAAACCATACACGAACACCTGTTAAGGTTTATGTGTGTATGGGAGTTGACTATTTTGTAAGTAATATCTTTTAAAATGTTTATTGATTATAATGTTCGAGTACATTTCCTGTAGATTACTAGGCAATTCATTGAGACAGGAAGGTAAGATAGCTTTCTATTTCCGTGGACATTATTACATTTCGGCAACAAAAACTTTCTACGATCCAACACAATTCTCAAATTATCTAGTCTCTTATTAATATTCAAGTACTTATTCTCGTTACATTCGGTTAGAATTACGTATTTTACCTTGTCATAAACATTCATCACATTACAATATCGAAATAATTCTTGTGCGTTACCTTTATATTTAACTTTTATATAAGTATTTGGCTACAATTATCTTTAGCATTTTATACTGAATTTGTTATATGGATGTATATTATTTGGATATTTTTAGATGAATATTATTTGGATGACTGTACTCTATACTATTGCCCCTTATTAATAGACACCCTGTACCCACATCAATAAAATATAAAAAATCTGGGCTATCGGCTATTGGCCAGTAGAACAAGACTAGACTCTTGAGTCTGGTCTGGTCTGAGGAAGGTACTAAAAGGAGAAACAGTACTAACAATACTCAAGAAGACGCTTTACACGTTTTTTTGTAAAATATGCAAAAAGAAGGTACATGAGACTAAAAATGGCAGAAACAACAAAACTGTACATAGTTATACTTACAATAAGAATTTTGCCCTATGCATGTCAATGTTTGTCAATTCCCGAGAGCAAAACTGGATTTTAGACCGTAGATGTGCAACACACATGTCTCATAATCAGAATCTCATAATAAAGAATACTTTCAAGATAACAAAAACTCTTGGTTTAGCCTCGAAAGAACATTCTGCTAATATTTTAGGCAGAGGCACAATAAACATTCATAAAAAACAAAACAACGAACTTACACTAAAGAACATTCGTGTTTTATGTTCCAAGCTTATGTACTAACCTGTTGTCGATTTATAAGATTACAGAGAGTGGATGTACTGTGTTTGTGTATGTGTTTTATTCACAAATAAAAAGGCAACAGTGAGACATCCAGTAGGTGGTAAACTCGAAGATGGTTTATATTATGTTAACAATTAAGTAACTAGCAAAATTAAAGAATGGCACGAAAAATTGGGACATATCAACGAAAGTGATTTAAAACTAGCAACCAAAGAAGAAAATCAAAAGGATACCAAGCAAGCCTAGTACAGAACCAAGAACAAAAAATGTCTTTATAAATCGTACATAGCAAAATTTGTGGACCAATGAAGATAGAAACAGTTCAAAGCAACAAATACTCTACTACTACTACTAATAAACAAACTTTCATTGATGATCATACTAGGTAAGTCGTGTGTACAAGGCAGAAATTGAAAACTTTTCAGGCAACAAAATAAATGCATTCAGTCTGATAAGGGCACAGAATACTGTAACCAGGAATTCGAGAATTTTTAAACCAAAACGGCACCAGAAAAAGCCAAACGCAAAAAATGAGACTTTGTTGGAAAAGGCAAGATGTCTCTAATGTTACAATCCTGCGCACCAGCAAGTCTTTGGGGAAAAGCAATCCATACTGCTAATTACCTGACCAACAGAAGTATCGTAAGTATAATATAGATAGTAAGTCTATTAGAAATGCTACACCTTTTAAGAAGTAGGTTGGAAGAAAACCACATGCAAATCATTTTCATGTTTTTGGCAGCAAAGCTTTTATCCTTTTAAAAGATAAGCAAAACAGAAATAAATTCGCCTCATAAGCAATTCCAGGCACGTTTGCAAGATATTCTAATGTTTCAAAAGCTTAAAGGATTTGGGTTCCTTCTAAACATAAAATAATGATATCAAAGGACGTTAAGGTCATTAATAAAATGATGTACAACAAAACAGACATTCCAATTTCTAATATTCTAAAAGAGGAAGACAATAAAGATGCTAACAAATGTTATGTTGATATCAATTTTGAAAACAAAAGTAATGTAGTAATGTCTTCTGAAGTGAGTACGAAGAGATAGATAATGACGGAGATGAATCTGAACAAGAAAATGATGTCACTATACAAAGCTCTTCCCGTACAGAAAATCAATTAAGAGTAAACAATGAAAATACTGGAAGGGCTCTCAGAGACAGATCCAAGTATGTGCCACCTCGATAGTTTGAAGAATACGTTATGGTCACAGTAAACGAAATATCTGATCAACCAAAAGAACCACATACATACAAAGAAACCATGCAAGTGAAGGTAAAAGTAAATGGCTCTATGCTATACTTTCTGAAATCACATCTCTCTACGAAAATAATTCTTAGGAATTAGTTCATTTACCCAAAGGAAGAAAAGCTTTACCTAGCTAGTGGGTCTACAAAGTTAAAATGAATCCCGATGGAACCATAGAGAGATTTAAAGCCAAACTTATTGTCAAAGGTTTCTCTCAAGAAGCTGGAGTAGACTACGATTAAACGCTAGTCCAGTTGTGAGACTAGCCACAGTCCGAGCGTTACTTGGTGTGGTCGCTAATAAGAACCTAAAACTGCAACAATTTGACTTTACAACCGCCATTTTAAATGGTTAAGTTGACGAGTAAATATACGTCAAACAACCTGAAGGCTACAGTGATGGTTCAGATACGGTGTGTTTACTGAAATGCAGCCTATATGACCTTAAACAAGCACTCAGGAGCTGCAACAGCTACATTTCTAACTTTTTTATCAATGCCAAGTTCAAACAAACCTTGTTTATACATGAGAACGAAAGGTAACTCAATAGTCCTAATAGCACTTTATAATAACGACGGATTGTTTGCGTCTACTAGCGACGAAGCTGGAAAGGAATTCCTAGAAGAATTGAAAACACGATTTAAAATAACGACGAAACCAGCGTATAACGCTTTCTTGTCCTTGAAATAAATAAAAGAGAAGATGGTTCCATAACTTTAATAAATCAAAAAGCATACACGTCGGAACTACTAGAAAAGTTTGGGATGATCACTTTAAACGAGTTGCTACACCTGCTACAAAAACAAAAAACGAAAGGGGGGAAAAAGATATATAAAATACCAAGTTCCCTTATAGACAAACATTAAGAGATAGGATAGCCTATCTGATGGTAGCAACAAGACCTGAAATAGCTTACGCAGTCAGTGTAGCATCACGGACTCTTGAAAGTCCATCAGCGTCAGATCTCCTCCAGGTGAAACGCATATGCTATACCTAAAAGGTACCAAAGATCATAGACTAGCAGTTAAAAAAAGTTCATCAACACTAGAATGTTACAGTGACGCCGATCACGGTGGTGCTTCTACAGGACATGCAACTACAGGAATTGTAAGCATATACTCTGGCCCTATTCTATGGAAGAGTCAGAAACTACCACCTATAGCATTATCTTCCACCCACAGAAGCAAAATTAGTAGCTGCTAGCGAAACTTCAAAAGAAATAATATGGTTAAAGAAACTGTCGATGCAGCTTACTAATCAGAACTTCCTGCCAATACTGTATGTTGATAGCGAGAGTGCTGTTAAATTAACCTACAATCAATCACATGAATTCTGTAGTCGCATTAAACTTAAAAAGCTTAAAAAGCCGACACTTCTACATAAGCCAATGTATAGCCGAACAGATAGATAATGAAGAACAAATAGCAGACATGCTCTCCAAGCCACTTTATTAGACTCGAATAGAAATATTGTCTAAACGACTAGGGCTATTCGACTTAAAGTAGAGGGAGTGTTAAGTATGAGTAAACCATACAGTTGTCGAAATCATTGAAAACGATCTACGTTATACATTATTTTCATAAATTTTAATAAAAAATAATAAAAAAAAACGGCCAAGTGCGAGGCGGACTCGCGCAAGAAGGGTTCCGTACAACAAACCGCAAAGGGACATTTTTTTATATTTAAATTAATATTTATATAAATAATAAAATTATTTGATTTCATTTTGAACTAATATTCGGCTTTTGGCGAGCATTCTGCATAAGGTAGAAAATTTCAGTTCTGTAACTCATTCCGTTTACTAAAGACCTGTGACATCCGGACGGACATATAGACAGAAGATAGAGTGAAAGCAATAGGGTACCGTTTTTACCCTTTGGGTAAAAAATAGGTCAGGTAGATAGGTTCCCTCAAATGATTGATTTCACTGATCGTTGAAATCTCATAGTTGATGGTAAAATTATTTTACCAACACACAAAGGCTTTTCAAAATAAAATATATTTAAACTAAAAAAAAAACAATAGTTAATTAGAAAAATTAATATGACCCTATCTTTGTATATCTACGCCACCTGTTAACATTTTTTGTAAACATCATACAAAAAGATACAGCGCCATCAAAGACAAATGTTCATGAAAAATAGAAAGTAGTTTTAAACAATTGCAATAGATGACGCTTTTAGGAAAGATATTACATTTTTTTAAATAAGGTTTTAAATTAAATTATTATTACAAATTGATACGAAATTCACATTTTTCGTAATAATATCAAATCAAAGTTATTAATTTCATTTACAATTACAAGAATCTTAGGCAGAATATACAACAAATTCCTTTGTCTGATACTCGTGGACAAGTTTCTAAAAAATAGTTAAAAAAAGTAAGGCAGCAAGAAATGGCGTCGCAAGTTGTTTTTTATTCGAAATCATTGTATTTCTAATAATGCCAAGTGATTGTAAAACTTTTCAGTGTTATTAGATGTAAAGTTGATCTGTGCCGTCAGTGTTTAATTGATGAGTAGCTGTTTTAACGGAATTTTGCCTTTCATATTGAAACAATGGCGTCGGATCAGCCTTTACAATCCAATGTAAAAGTTGGTGAAAATCGCGATTTCGTTGAAGACCACAACGGTCTGAACAATGAAGCAGATGCCGGTGAAGGCACTAAGCGCCGAAGAGTGACTCATGACTATAGAAAACTTTCGAAATTGGGATACGATCCAAGTGTGTCAACCAATATGAAACATTTACAATCTCACGATTCCAAAGGTACTTATTGCTCATTGTAATTATAGTTGCTCATCGTGTCATTTACTTAGAATGTCTACTTATTTGACTGTAAAAATGTAAAATAATGATCAATATTTTTGGTGGGAAATATGGTAACCTATCTTTTGTTAGTTACATCACTGAACTGGAGGTCATGACTGTTTATAAACATTTTTCTTCCCTATTTGATATTTTTTTACAGTTTTCGTAGATATTCACAGTGAATTCGATATAGTTGCACACAGTTCAGTTTTGCAATAATGATTTATGTTTAATTGCATCACCACAATGGCCTTGGTCAGGGCTGCATTGAACTTTCTACTTGCTTTACAATTTGCTGTACAATGGTTTGTGTACCAACAGTTATTAGGTTCATTATGTATTGATTTCATTAAATTTTGTATATTTAATTTTTATTTACAGCAAAATTCAGTTTTTAATTAATATTACTTGATAATGAACATATCTATCTTGTTCACTGATTAACTGAGTATTAATTGGGAATGGTTTTTTTAGAATTGATGATTCCAATGCAGATGAGGGGACTATATTTTTGTAAATTTAACTTTTTCTTTCTCATCTTCAAAAATAAACATCAGTATATTGTAGTCTTAGTAGTAGAATTAAATAACTAACAAAAACCAACTTCTGAGTTTTGTTATTTATTTAAATAATGGTGATGATTCTGGCATGATTATCTAAACCTAAAATTAATTAGACAGGTGTATCCTTGTCATTCTCTTTACAGAATGAAAAGGAGAGACTGATATAAAATTTAGTTTTTAATTTTCTTGAGACAGCTAACTCCCAAGACGAAAAGATTTGTTTTTCTTTTTGTTTTAACTGATTTTTGCGTAAATTGTTGTAACACAGAAATATTTCAAAGAATTAAAAGAATTGACATACATTTATTCTTTTCAAAACAACAAATATGTTATCTAAAAATAAAAGTTTTTCTTTAATTTAATCCGTAATGTTATTATATCTGCAATATATCTTTGGCAAAATAAATTGTACTTTACAATTGCATATTGATAAAGTGTTAAATAGTCAAAGACTTAAAGGGTAACTTTTTAATTTCTGTGATAAAAGTCCAAAATAAATTGCAGATTATTCTAAATATTTGACTATTATGTTGATTTCAAAACATGGTAACATCTGTGAATTGAATGAGGATCTGTAACAATTTTATTTGAGAATGCAGATTTATAAAGCTAAGGATTTCATAAAATACAGTAGTTTTTTTTTCTATGATAAATATTGATGAAGTTATAACCAAATTACTAAACATATTTTTCGCTGGCCGTGTGGTGACTGAGACGTCACAGAGCTCTAGCGCTCGGGCGCGAACGTGCTTAGAGACACTACAACTGTTCAACCAGAGTGAACCATGATCTGTGACATCACACGTTAATTAGGCTACCTAAAAATTTGTTATGAAATTGCAACGAATGAACCAATTTTGATGATTTAAAAAGCTTATTAGATCATTATACTGTTGATTTTAAGTTTGCTGGCCTAGTAATGATACTCATTGTTCAAAATCAAATTTGGGAGCATTCTTATAGAGAAGTTTGAATAGCTCATTAAAACAATATAAGCACTAAGCAAAAGGGTAGATTAGACATATAAAAAAAACTTAGAAAGATGTATAAGTTTCAGTATAACAAAAATTAGCAGCTGTGCAAGATTTTTTAAATTTATTATTAACTAATAATTTCCACATTTCATTCATCTTGTGTGATCTTAATTACAAATAATCTGTGAATTTAATTCTGCAACAAGAAACAAAAGTATTTATTTTTAAAGCATATTATAAAATTTCAAAAATTTTGCTGCAGGTAGGTATATACATGCCTGTTTATGTTTATTTAGAAAAATAAATCTGTCTTTTCTTAGAAGATTTATTCAATTTCATATTTAGGAGTTTCTATTCTTGATACAATATAAATAATAACTGTGTGTGTGACACTAAACTGTGTAAATTTGGAAGTATTACCTGAATAACTCTAAAATTTGGTAAATTAATATTAAAAAGAAAAACTTGTTCCATTAATACACTTAGTCTAGTCTTCTTCCCTTTTTTTTTATATTTAGAAAGAAAATATATAATATTTCTTATAAATGTTCTAAAGGTAATACATATAGCATAAAACAGTAGTGATACCACATAAACCCCTTCAAGAATGGAGCAAAACATGACAAAATAAAAATAAGTGTCCATAATTTTTAACACACTTTTATTAGGTCGACTTGTAATGAAACTGAAACTAGCAGCCGACATTCTCTTGAGACAAATTTTTTTTTTTTCAACGAAAGTATTAGGGTATCTTGACTGAAATTACACCCACTATTTCTTCACCCTAAAAAGAAGTTCTGGGAAAAATTTCATCAATTTCGTATGTGTAGGAGATGAGATAAAGCTTTTTTAAAAAATAAATAATCTTTCTCCTGAGAGAAAATATTTTTTTACAACTAAACTATTAGAGTATCTTGGCTGAAATTACTTCCACTATTTCTTCACCCTAAAAAGAAGTATTGAGGAACATTTCAGCAATTTCGTATGTCTAGGAGATGAGATACAGCTTTTTAAACAAAAAAAAATATTCTACTGAGAAATTATTTTTTTACAACTAAACTATTAGAGTATCTTGGCAGAAATTACTTCCACTATTTCTTCACCCTAAAAAGAAGTTTGGAGGAAAATTTCAGCATGTTCGTATGTCTAGGAGATGAGATTCAGGTTTTTAAACAAAAAAAAATATTCTCCCGAGAAAATATTTTTTTACAACAAAACTATTAGAGTATCTTGGCTGAAATTACTTGCACTGTTTTTTCACCCTAAAAAGAAGTTTTGAAGAAAATTTCAGCAATTTCGTATGTCTAGGAGATGAGATACAGCGTTTTAAACAAAAAAAAAATATTCTCCTGAGAAAAAATTTTTTTTGAAACTAAACTTTTAGAGTATCTTGGCTGAAATTACTTCCACTGTTTCTTCACCCTAAAAAGAAGTTTTGAAGAAAATTTCAGCAATATCGTATGTCTAGGAGATGAGATACAGCTTTTTAAACAAAAAAATATTCTCCCGAGAAAATATTTTTTTACAACTAAACTATTAGAGTATCTTGGCTGAATTTACTTCCACTATTTCTTCACCCTAAAAAGAAGTTTTGAGGAAAATCTCAGCAAGTTCGTATGTCTAGGAGATGAGATACAGCTTTTTAAACAAAAAAAATATTCTCCCGAGAAAATATTTTTTTACAACTAAACTGTCAGAGTATCTTGGCTGAAATTACTTCCACTATATCTTCATCCTAAAAAGAAGTAGTGAGGAAAATTTCAGCAATATCGTATGTCTAGGAGATGAGATACAGCTTTTTAAACAAAAAAAAAATATTCTCCTGAGAAAAAATTTTTTTTTAATCTTAACTTTTGGAGTATCTCGGCTGAAATTACTTCCACTGTTTCTTCACCCTAAAAAGAAGTTTTGAAGAAAATTTCAGCAATATCGTATGTCTAGGAGATGAGATACAGCTTTTTAAACAAAAAAATATTCTCCCGAGAAAATTTTTTTTTACAACAACTTTTAGAGTATCTTGGCTGAAATTACTTCCACTATTTCTTCACCCTAAAAAGAAGTTTTGAGGAAAATTTCAGCAATATCGTATGTCTAGGAGATGAGATACAGCTATTTAAACAAAAAAAAAATATTCTCCCGAGAAAATATTTTTTTACAACTAAACTATTAGAGTATCTTGGCTGAAATTACTTCCACTGTTTCTTCACCCTAAAAAGAAGTTTTGAAGAAAATTTCAGCAATTTCGTATGTCTAGGAGATGAGATACAGCTTTATAAACAAAAAAAAAATATTATCCTGAGAAAATATTTTTTTAAAACTAAACTTTTAGAGTATCTTGGCTGAAATTACTTCCACTGTTTTTTCACCCTAAAAAGAAGTTTTGAAGAAAATTTCAGCAATATCGTATGTCTAGGAGATGAGATACAGCTTTTCAAACAAAAAAAAATATTCACCCGAGAAAATATTTTTTTACAACTAAACTGTTAGAGTATCTTGGCTGAAATTACTTTTTAAACAATAAAATATTCTCCCGAGAAAATATTTTTTTACAACTAAACTATTAGAGTATCTTGACTGATAGTGGAAGTAATTTCAGCCAAGATACTCTAAAAGTTTGGTTTTAAAAAAATATTTTCTCAGGAGATTTTTTTTTTATGTTTAAAAAGCTGTATCTCATCTCCTAGACACACGAAATTGCTGAAATTTTCTTCAAAACTTCTTTTTAGGGTGAAGAAATAGTCGAAGTAATTTCAGCCAAGATACTCTAAAAGTTTAGTTGTAAAAAAATATTTTCTCGGGAGAATATTTTTTTGTTTAAAAAGCTGTATCTCATCTCCTAGACATACGAAATTGCTGAAATTTTCTTCAAAACTTTTTTTAGGGTGAAGAAACAGTGGAAGTAATTTCAGCCAAGATACTCTAATAGTTCAGTAGTAAAAAAATATTTTCTTAGGAGAATATTTTTTTTTTGTTTAAAAAGGTGTATCTCGTCTCCTAGACATACGAACATGCTGAAATTTTCCTGAAAACTTCTTTTTAAGGTGAAGAAATACCGGAAGTAATTTCAGCCAAGATACTCTCATAGTTTAGTTGTAAAAAAATATTTTCTCAGAATTTTTTTTTGTTTAAAAAAGCTGTATCTCATCTCCTAGACATACGATATTGCTGAAATTTTCCTCACTACTTCTTTTTACGGTGAAGATATAGTGGAAGTAATTTCAGCCAAGATACTCTAACAGTTTAGTTGTAAAAAAATATTTTCTCGGGTGAATATTTTTTTTTGTTTGAAAAGCTGTATCTCATCTCCTAGACATACGATATTGCTGAAATTTTCTTCAAAACTTCTTTTTAGGGTGAAAAAACAGTGGAAGTAATTTCAGCCAAGATACTCTAAAAGTTTAGTTTTAAAAAAATATTTTCT